CAAAGAGTTGGACACGACTGAGTGATTTCACTTTCGATATACATACAAACAAATATACACAAACAATACATACACATACACACAAATACACAAAAACATGCATACACAAATCATACACATGTGCTTGTTTGTGTGGTGTGTGTGGTGTGGATTTCATTGAATCTATGGAACAATTGGGAGGAATTAACATTTTAGCAATATTAACTCATTCAATTCACGAACACTGTCTATTTCTTCATTTGTTGAAATCATCTATCCTATGTATTGTATTTTCAATTTTTTTTAGGTCTCACACTTATTTTGTTAAAGTTCTCCTTAAGCATGTTTTTTGTGCTTTTATGTAAGATTTTTTTAAAAATTTAAAAAAATAAAATAAAAATAAAATTATTTTCCAATTTTTGCATTGCTAATGTAGTATGTAAATATAGCGGACTTCTGTTGGTATTGTAGGTATCCTACAATTTTGTTCAATTACTCTGTACCTCTGGAAGTCTTCTGTGCCAATTCCTTAGAATTTTCCACGTACTTAGTCATGTCATTTGCAAATAAAGGCAGATTTTAGGCTGCCTTACCAGTATGTGTAAGTTGTATTTCCATTCTTGGCTTAGCTCACTGGCTCCTGCAGCCTTGAGTAGAAGTGGTGGGGACACACATTCCCACCTGGTTCACAGTCTTAGGGAGCAAAGGGTCTTCACGGTGACCCTCAGGGAAGGTCGCTCATCACCCGGCCTGTGACGTTGCCCCCTCCAGGCCCAGCGCTGCAGCCGGGAGAACCTCACCCTCTCGTCAGGGCCTGTGAGCAGGGCCTGGGGCTGCGAACACCACACCGTGCTCGCAGCTGGGGGGACCCCCCACACAGGCGGAGCTGGAGACGACAGGGGCACGCTCTATCTCGGTCTGCGTCTACCTGAGCTTCCCTCCTGCAGACAAAGCCACGGTGAGGTGGCTGTGCGGGGCCGTGGGACGCCTGGGCATTGTGGCTGTTTCGGGGGGAAGTCCGTGTGGGAGGCGCTGGGGGTCCAGACCCCCTCACCTGCGTGCAGCCGGCCGACTCGCCCGGCACCCTGAGGGACCCGTTTCCTCGCCTGTGGCCCGGCCAGGACGGCACCCGCAGCGGTGAGCAGTCCTGAGGACTGCGCGGCTTCCTGCAGGACACGCCCAGGAGTGCACGCGCACGCTAGCTGTTCCTGCAATGAAAGCACGCATGTTTCCCGAACTCATTAGACCCACAAAGCCTATTTTTATGAGTGTCTTCTGAGACGAATGTTTCTCGGAACATATTTTTGAAAGATCTGTGCAGCGGAAGCCAGTGGATTTTGGACTCAGACTGAACCTGTGGGGATGCTCCCTCAGTCTCGGGGTGGGTGGTGCATGACGCCGAGCAGTCTCTTTGTTTTCGGGCAGAGTGCATGGGAGGTTAAGATATCTTTCTTTCACTCTCAGAGCTAAACAGCAATTTGGCTGACGGTCAGGTTCCCATGCTCTTTCCCTCTGGCTCCCCAGGCGCAGCTATAGTGGTAAAGAACCTGCCTGTCAGTGCAGGAGACGTAAGAGGCATGTGTTCGATCCCTGGGTCGGGAAGATCCGCTGGAGGAGGGCATGCCAATACTCTTTCTCTCACATTCCCTATCGCAGCTGCTCTTTAAACTTGTTTGTTCAGTTGCTAAGCTGTGTCTGACTCTTTGCTGACCCCGTGGACTGCAGCACGCCAGGCCTCCCTGTCCACCAACAACTTCCAGAGCTCGCTCAAACTCATGTCCATCGAGTCAGTGATGCCATCCAACCATCTCATTCTCTGTCGTCCCCTTCTCCTCCCGCCTTCAATCTTGCCCAGCATCAGGGTCTTCTTGAATGAGTCAGTTCTTCGCATCAAGTGGCCAAATTATTGGAGTTTCAGCTTCAGCATCAGTCCTACCAATGAATATTCAGGGTTGATTTCCTTTTACGATTGACTGGTTTGAGCTCCTTGTCCAAGGGACTCTCAAGAGACAAATTTCCTATACTAAACGCTGTTTAAATTTAGTGTCACAATAAGGGCCTTGGTCTGGAGAGGCCAGATTCTCCCTCAGTCTGATTCTTCTTCATAAATCACCGTCCCCCACACAGGAATTGTAGCATCTCCTCCTACATGGAGTCAAGAGAACCGACCAGTTTGCGTTTATATGTGCATTCTGCCCACCCCTAGCGGTGGGGTTCAGGAATTTTCTTGTTACACATTTGATTATGGCTCCCTAGGCCTGGCTCACCTTTGTGAGGCAGTTATTTTCATGCTGACACTTTGTAACAAGCTGCCCCAACCTCCACGGCTGCAGCCAGGCCCACGCATTCCCCGCTCACCCGTCAGCGGGGACTCCAGCTGCAGGGCTGAGGTCACAGGGGCCTCTGCTCACATTCTCTGCTGTGACCAGCTGCTGGGCCGTGTGCCTCTCCTCCTGGCTACGGAAGATGTTCGGAGCAAAGTGAGTCTTCTGGGCAAAACTGACAGGAACAGGACTGGGCACATGCTCCTCCTCTAGTTGGGCAGGTCCAGAGTCCCCCCTGGGGGTGTGGGGCGGGCAGGGGCAGGCACTGGGGCGGTAACTGGAACACGTGCCTGGTTAAGTCACGGGGCCCCTCGCTCTGGATTGCATAAAATCCCTCTTTCTTCTTAATCTCTCTCTCCTGCGTCTCTCGTCTTAATACTAGGCAAGTTGTATATGAGAGTCTTCTAACTCAATAATCTGGTTTTAAGTGTAAAAGCAGGAGTAAAAATAACCTATAAACCAGGGAGAATCATTCAACGTAACTGATGATAAAAGAAATGCAAATAACAGCCCATAGAATCAGACTGTCTACTGGATCCGAGGCATTTGGGGGGCCGGAGCTGCCTCCCACGCTGCCCGTGGTGTCAGGCCCTCAGGCTGAGGCCGAATCAGGAAGAAGGGACCCCGGTCCTTGACGGCTCCTGATGCTGGAGGCTCCACCCGACCCCGTCCAAGCCCTCGGGTCGGCACTGCAGAACTTCAGTGAACTCGCTGTGTGCTCCAAGCTTCCGCCTTTTATGCTGAGACTGAGCCGTCCAGTGGGCCGGCCAGTTGTCAGGCACATGCCGTCCGGGGCACCCGAAAGCGGCTCATCCAAACTGGGACGAATTGTAGATAGAATCATAGTCGTTACATATGGAAATGATGAGCTTCGGATATTTGAGTTACATAAGATATGCCATTAAAATTAATTGCAGCTATTTATTTTTTATTTTTTTTAATGTGACTCCTAGGAAGTATACTATTATGGATATGGCTTGCATTAAATTTCTACTGGACCTTATATTTCTGCAGGTTGCTCCATTATATTTGACATTGTAGGCTACTGGACACTGTATCAATAGATGCTGGACATTATTGCCTTAAAACAGCTACCGACTGCCTCAAGTCATTTAGGTTTAGACAAAGGCTATGCCCTAAATTTTATTGTTTTATTGTTCTTAAAAAACAAAAATAATTGTATTATGCTTATCTATTTGGCCTTTTATTGTGCTTTACTTGACCTTCTGTTGTATTTTATCTTATAATTCTTAGTCTTTTTTACAATGATGTATTTATTTTTATCTCTGGTTTATTTTAAATGGAAAAGAGGAAATTACACCTCAGAGAGAGATTGTGTTCAAAAAGGGTCGCTAGCACTTTTTAGAACTTCCTCCCATTTCCACCAAGGACTCTCCGGCGCAGAGGGGCTGTGTCTCCTCCCGTGAGAACGACCGCCCCCCCCCCCGCCGGCCCCGTGTTCAGCCTCAGGGCTTCAGCGCCCCAGCAAGCCCTCCATCTGCCGTCTCACAGGAGGACCTCACAGGCCCGACTGGGGACCCGGCGCCTGTTACTCCTGCGAAACCTGGGCTCTGTCCTGAGTGCTCAGCTGGGCCTCCATGCAGCAGCTCCTGGGGCCAAGCCACTGCCCTCGATGGCGGGGCTCCCCGGGGACTCCCGGGGGCTGGCCGACGGCGCGCCAGGTCAGAGCAGGGAGCCTGCTTCTCCAGGCCCACCTCCATCGCTCGCATCCTCCCACCCCGCCCCCCAGAGGCCCCCTCCTGGCTCACTGACCACCGTGGGTGGCGGGCGGTGACTCCGCTCCCAGACCCCTGGCCGACCTCCCCGTGTGGGCTGGGCCTCCACCCGGCCTCCGGCTCCAGGACAGGAGGGGAGCCGTGCAGGGCGGGAAGGGCCCCGCTCTCCTGGGCTCCTTCTCGGCAGCCTGGGAGGGACACGTGAGTCTGGCACGAGCCGGGTGCTCTCGAGGGGACAGGGTCACTGGGAGCAATGCGGACTTCAGCTTCCCTGTCTCTGAGCCCAGAAATATTCAGACACACATCCTTTGGGACCACGAATCCCTCCTTGGGCAAGTCCAAGGCCCTGGCGTCATCCCAGCCTCCGCTTGACTGCAGAAGCACCTCAGGCGGAGGGTCTGTGGTCTGCCATCGCCTGCACATTGGGCGGGACGGCGCCCTGGTCACCAGGAGCTTGAGAAACGGCCCGGGGGCTCCAGGGTGGGGGGATGCGGGGCCCAGGAACCAGCGAGTTTCCCACTCATTCAGAACCCAGTCTCCACAGCCCGAGCACACAAAGCCAGCGGAGCAACCGCGATGGAACAGGACGCAACCGGGTCCCCTGTTAGAGGCGCACTAAGGATGCAGACCAAACGTTTCCTTTCGGGCTACAAGAGTGCACATTCCCCAGGCCTAGACAGGAAGGAAACCGCATGGGGAGGGGCCTTGGCCCCGGGGACAGTGGCCTGCCCACCGCTAGGGGACGGGAAGGACAGCAGCGTCCTGAGGAGACGCTGAAGTCAGGCGTGAACACACGAGGGGGCCTCGCGGTGATTGACATGGCAGCAGCACAGGTCAGCGGGGAAGGCGCGGTCATTCAGTAGGTGGGCTCAGAAAAAGAGGCGCAGAGGTGAAGGAACCAGCCTCGCCCTTCCTCGGCCCATACCCAGAAGGAAACGTCGGACGACCAGCGTGAAGGGAGATGCTCCGAGTCCTGCAGAGGGAAGAACAGGCAAGTGTTCTTGCTGGAAAGACAAGTGAAAGTGAAGTCGCTCAGTCGTGTCCGACTCTTTGCGACCCCATGGACTGTAGCCCACCCCGCTCCTCCGTCCATGGGTTTTTCCATGTAAGAACACTGGAGTGGGTTGCCATTTCCTTCTCCAGAGGATCTTCCCAACCCAGGGATCTTGGAGAGAAAAGAGATTTCTACATAAGATCCCCAAGTTCCAAACCACAGGCAGTAACGCTGAAGGCTTGGTGGCCTCATAGTTACGCAGGAGGCAGGGACAGAGTTAGCACGTGGATGGCAGAAGAACTAAAACAGCTGAGAACTAACATATCCAGGAGACTGGGAACACTTGCTAATCAGCAATAAGACCATCAGCTCGAGAGAGAAAAAGAGGCAGGTTCTGCAAAGTTTTAACAGAGGAAGCAGCATCAGCAGCCACCAGCAGGTGAGGTGTTCGGTCCCTCCCACATTCAGAAAAAAGCAGACGGACAACCTGTTAGCACCGGAATTGGCAGAAATGCAGGTGGTTGATGGGTCCCAGCAGTGGGTTAAGACACTGTTCCCGAGACTGGCAACCCCTCCCAGCACAGACTCCAGGGGAGCCTTGCCTGCCTCTGCACGGACGCCCTCATTAGCAGGGAGCTCGGGCAGCACAGGGCAAGTCACGGCGTCTGTGAATGGCAGGCGTGTCACAGGGATCCAGGAGTGGGTTACTGTAACAGACAGCAGCAAGGAGCGATATTTTAACATGCATTTTATTGAAGCTGATTTACGATGTTGTATTAATTTCTGCTGTACAACACAGTGATTCAGTTATACATACATACATTCTTCTTTACAGTCTTTTCCATTACAGTTTATCCCAGGATATTGAATATAGGTCCCTGCGCTGTTGTAGGACCCTGCCGTTTACCCATCCTGTATATAATAGCTTGTATCTGCTAACCCCAGGCTCCCAATCCTTCCCTCAAGAGATTTCAAAGCACAGCATAAGCAGGAAAGAGGAAGACACTGATTGACACTTAAAGTGCAATATAATTTACGTAAATTAAAAGACCTGAAGACAAGATAGAGTGTATTACACTTTTAGGGGCCCACACGTGTCTGAAGGTATAAAGCAGAGTAGTTGGGGCCCAAGACAGGGAAGGGGCTGAGAGTGAGGGCAGGGTATGGAGGAAAATAATGAAACAGCACTGTTCACAGCACGTCAGGATGATCCTGAGTGTTTCGTGGGTATTACGCCGAATCCCTATAGCTTTTACTTAGCAGGGATTATGGAAATGGGAACAGATACAGAGTTCAGTGAGAAAATGTGTTTTCCTGCAGGAAATTGAAGAACTTATTTAAGTAAAATCTTAGGTTCTCAGAGGAGGACATAAAAAGTCCGCTCATGCTTGGTGAGCTTGATTAAAATGTAGGTCACGGCAGGTTTGAAGACGTTTTCCGATGTTCTCCTTTGACTGAAAGAGTCTCGTGGAAGTGCAGCCACCTGGGCCCTGGGGACCTGGCAGCCACGGCCAATCTGTCCTGCTGCCATGAGACCCGAGGCCACTGGGAGCCAGAGGCTTGGGAAGACCCAGACGGACACGGCTCACGGTCTCAGGAGCGGAGTCAGTGATCGCGTGGATCCTTTAATCGGCAGGAGGAAAGCCTCCTTTCACCTGTTTTTTTTGTTTTCGATTTTGTTTTGCTTTGTTTGCGCTTCTCTGATAGCTCAGTTGGTAAAGAATCCGCCTGCAATGCAGGAGACCCCGATTCGATTCCTGGGTTGGGAAGGTCCCCTGGAGAAGGGATAAGCTACCCACTCCAGTCTTCTTGGGCTTTCCTGGTGGCTCAGCTGATAAAGAATCCGCCTGCAGTGTGGGAGACCTGGGTTCGATCTCTGGGTTGGGAAGATCCCCTGGAGAAGGGAAAGGCTACCCAGGCCAGTATTCTGGCCTGGAGAATCACATGGACTATATAGTCCATGGGGTCGCAAAGAGTCAGACATAACAGACCAACCTTCACTTTCACTTTGTTTTGTTTACTGTAAAGTTAGCACAACAGTAAGAAGCTGGGACAAAAGTGGGAAAATACAGATGTGAAAGGAAGCGGCCACTGATGCCCTCCTGCAAGTCCTGCTCGGAGCCTGACCAATCTGCTTTGAGAAAATGTCCACCCCTCAGTGAAAATTAAGAAGGGAGGAAACGACATTCTCCACTGGAACCCATTCCTTGCTGAGAGCCATGCCTGCCTTGGCTGGAGGGACTCAGGCCCTGGGAAGAGCCCCTCCAAGGGGCCAGGGGGCGGGCCGGCTCCTGGGTGGGGGCGGGAGCAGGCTGGCTCGCCGGGAGGGGTGTCTGCAGGGGTCTCGGTGAGGACACCAACGGCGGGGGTCCCCTCCCCGTCAGCTCTGCCCTGGAAAGCAGGAGACCCGACTGCCTCCGCCGCCCGCCGGCCCCTCGACGCCACGCTTGGGTCCTGGGGCTTGGTGAGGGCCTGAGGCCTGGAGACGGGGGCCGCCAGGAGGCTGCTGTGATGGAGGGAACGAGAGGCTTCGCCCCTTACAGGCCGCCTGGGGGACCCCACGCCCTTGCCAGCCGCCCTGTTGCGGCTCCTGCTGCCCCGACCCGGGCCCAGAGCCCCCCAGCAGAAGAGTGCAGTGGGGCGCCCTGTCCTGTGCAGAATCACCAGCCCTTCCCGTCTGCGCTCCGCACCAGGCTGCTCTCACCCGGCAGGAGGGCGGGGCCCCCGCCCCCGCCGCGCCCCCAGGCCCGCCTCCCCGCCCCCGCCGCGCCCCCAGGCCCGCCTCCAGTGGCTCCCCGCCCCATCCCCTCCCGCTCCCCGTCTCACGAGCTCCCTCTTCAGTCCAGGCTGTGTTTCATCCCAAAACGCACCGGCGAAGACGCCGCCAAAGGGCCTGAGAGCAGAAGGAATATGATGGCCTTTAAACCGAGAGACTTCTGGCTCTTCCTCAGGAAAAACGAGCGCAAAGGCGCCAGCGGTGGCGCGTGGGAGGGAAGATCTGCCTGTCTTAATTCAGCTCTTCCCAGCAGCCGGAGGGGCCGCCCTGAAAACAGCCGGAAAGGAAGACACACGGGAGCACAGAGCACAATCTCCAGCCCACGGAAATATCCTAGAGCCCGCGTGCCGGGGACCGTCAGGGAAGAGGAGGACAAACACCTCAGAACAAGTCACAGCTTCACGCTTTTGGGAAAAGCATTTGTGTCTTTCGTTACTTACATGTCTTTCCTTTGGCCACGGTGCCGACTTGCTGATAGTTGACTGTTAATACAATAAATGTGTGCTTTAGCAGTAAACTTCCTTGCTCTTTGCAAATGGGGCATTTTAATGAAGGCTTAAAGTTAGTAACAATTCAGAGCTGAAGCCAAGTTACGGATTCTGTATAAACATGAATCATTGTAAGGAAATGTTTCCTACTTTAAAATCATGTCAGGAAATAAAGCCTAAAGAATAGGATGACAGTTTATATCTGTTAAAACATTTCAAGTGATGTGTTCATTCTTTGTGGAGATAAAGCAAAAGCTAAAGAATGTGGTCAGTCTATATGACTTTAAGTAATCTGGCCAATTATTTTAAATGTAAGTTTAAATAATTAATGCATAAGCCTCCACATTTACAATTAATTTTAAGAAGCTCAGAACAAGTATGCTTGTTTTATTCTGAGATCAGCTAAACAAGATCTACTATTTAAATGATGTAATTAATCATAGAATGATGTAATAATAATTCCCTTGTAAAATAAAACAATTGCTAATATGCTATATCAGTTACATGCATTGGTAATTTGTTTCAAGGTATTGATATTAATAATATAGGCAAAAGTAAGGGGCAGACGCATCTTTCAAAACTATGTAGGAGTTTTGGAAAGAGTTTTTCATTCTCCGGGAAGATGCCCTGAAGGAGGAAACACAAATGAGGCACACTCGTCTGCCTGGGAAATCCCATCGACAGAAGAGCTGGCGGGCTGCAGTCCATGCACTTGCAGAGTCAGACATAGGAGTAGGGCACCGCTGAGCGTGAGCACGGCCTTTCGCTCTCCAGTGAAGGAGCTGCTTCAGTCCGTTTGGGCAGTGATGATGAAAATCCACAGGTTCAGGTCCAGAGGGCCCCGGGACTCTGTGTCTGCTGGCCCCGCTTGCTGGTTCACAGACGGGTCTTCTCACTGTGTCCTCGCGTGGTGGGGGTGGGAGGCTCTCTGGCTCCCACCTAGGGGGAGTGCTCTCTCCTTAGGGCGCTAATCCCATCAGGGGGCTCCGCCCTGCTGACCTCATCACCTCCATAGACCCACCTCTGACACCATCACGGTGTGGGGAGGGGTGGTTAGGCTTTCGACCCTGGATCTGGGAGAGGTAGGCTCAGCCCACGGAAGGTGCTCTGAAAGCTGGCAGAGGTGCTGGTGTGGGGTGGGACGTCCGACGGGTGTCACCTGGAACCGTCGCCTGCTGCCGGGTCGGCTGACAGATGCCATTCAGAACAGGCACATGTTTAGTCCGGTCACAGGCAGTTACGATGTGAAAGCCTCATCACTCTTGCAGGAAAACAGCATCGGTAAGAGGTGGCGGTGTTTTTGTTGTTGTTGTTTAGTCATCCAGTCGTGTCCGACTCTGTGTGACCCCTGTGTGACCTCTGTGGACTGGGATTCTCCAGGTGAGAATACTGGAGCGGGCTGCCGTTTCCTCCTCCAGGGGATCTTCCCGACCCAAAGATGAACCTGCATCTCCTGCGTTGCAGGTGGACTCTTTACCCCTGAGTCACCAGGAAAGCCCAGAAAGGCCTGCAGGGCTGGTCATGGGTCTCAGCAGATGGAGCTGCTCGGAACACCTGAACGCCTGCAGTGTGTGCCTGGTGGGGGGTTGCCCCCTGCTGTCTATCACGGGAGGGTTCACTGAATCTCCACATCCTCCCATCCGAGCCGGACTCAGGGCAGTGAGCAACTCAAAGGCAGAGAAATCGTGAAGTGTAGAAAAACCTGTAGAAAGGGATGATCTCTGAGTATTTGTTGCCTTTTTAAAATGTAATTTACACAACTGAAAGTTTATGTAATTTCATTTTTAATAATGGTGAGGTTAAACAATAGGCTTGCCCATACCTGAAACTTTAACAACCGTGACCACTCTTGCTGTTACTATTATTATTATTTTCATATGCGGCCGTATGGAGAGGGGGTGGTAGGCATGGAGATACAGGAAAAAAGTAACATCTGTGACAAATCACATCTTTAAGGCTAAAGGTTCTGTCGATGTTCGAAGAAGGGAAGGTTTGGAATGATTTTTTCCCTGAGAAGCGGGTCTGTCTTTGCTGACAAAGGGCCACAACACTCGGCCAGCCAGCTGTCCACCCGCACGCTCTGCAGGAAGACTGTCCCTGCGGCCTTTCCAGTCTAGCGGATTTTAAGGCTGCAAGGAACCAGGCCAGAAACGGTTTGGGTTTGTGATCAGTCATCTTCGCAAGCAGAAAATCCAAGTGCCACCCGTTTCTGAAAACAGGTTTGTGCCTCAGGTTGCAGGTCGCTTCCGATCACATGTCGGAAAGTTGCCACAATGAGTACAATGGAGCTGGCGCGGATCCCAGTTGGTGCCGACGGGCTGGCAGCTCTTCTCCGACGGGCTGGCAGCTCTTCTCCGCCCCCCGGCTGTCTGCGCCGTGGGCGGGTAGGCGCACAGCCCCGCTCACTGCCCGGAAGGCTCCCCCCACCCGCACGGAGCGTCTCCCCAGCTGGTCTCCAGCTGGCTCCACTCACCCTCCAGGTGAGCACGCAGCGTGGCCCCGGGCCCCGAGCCCCCACCACGCTCCTCTCCCCGCTTCTCCCGACGTGTGTGTTCTTCACATGCACCACACACAGCACACACAGGCATGTGCATGCACACACATGCCACTCACACACACAGCACATGTCACACACACGCACCACACATCACACACACGCAGAGCACACGTCACACACACGCACCACACATCACACACACACACAGCACACGTCACACACACGCACCACATGCCACTCACACGCACAGCACTTGTCACACACATGCACCACACGTCACACACACACACCACACGTCCACAACTACAGTGAAATCCAGCTGCTCCTTTTGCAGAGGAGCAGAGCTACAGCTGACAGTGTCCTGAGAACCGAGGGTATGAAATAGTCCATCCAGACTTATGCACACCATGGGAAAAATCACAAAGTAGGCAAATTTTATTTTCTCCCTGACTTCCCCTTTGGGGCTTCCCTAGTTGGTAAAGAATCTGCCTGCAAGGCAGGAGACCCCGGTTTGATTCCTGGGTCAGGAAGATCTGCTGGAGAAGGGATAGGCGACCCACTCCAGTGTTTTTGGGCTTCCCCTTTAAATACAGCCCTGGGGGTCCCAGACCCCTCGCCACCAGGCCCACATCCATCCCCTCCGGGTCCACCCGTGAGACACTCAGTGATCTGATAAACCCACGTGGTGGGGAGGTCCCTGCCGACAGCTCAAACTGTCCCCTGGAGACCTGGTGCTCGCATTTGAACAGAGGGCATGGGATTGTCAGGGCGGATTTCTAAAGGAGTAGCGCTGTCCGAGTTATCACAGATCATACTGACCAGGAGACCGCCTGAGGACCGCCTGGGCCCTGGGCTCCCCTTCCTGGAAGACGCCCGCGGTGAGGCTGAGACGCCGCCTGGGACAGAGGCCAGTCTGCAGCCGCAGAGGGGGCCCCTCGGGTCTGGAGACACAGCTGCAGAGGTTCGTCCGGACGTGCCGGTGGTCAGTGTGGCTCTCCGCGCCGCGGGCAGGACAGTGAGCACACGATCAGTGGAGCCGGGGCCTCTGCAGTCAGAGGCTCCAAATGCGCTGCTGAGAGAGTCCAGCGGGCCGGGCAGCTGGCCAGGGCCACTGCTGGCCTCCAGGCCGTGTCTGCACATGGGGCTCTGTCTCACGGGGCAAAGGCTGGGGGGAGTGAGCGGTGTGGTTGCCACAGGGACACAGCCCCTCACCGCCACCGCTGCAAGCCCCCCAGCCGGCAGGTCAACTGGACGTGAGCAAGGTCAGGGTCCAAAGCAAGGCGCCCGCCGCGCCGTGCAGGAGCCGCTGCTTGCGGGCCCCTCGTGACCCTCCTGGGCAGCTCCGCCCTCCCCCCCGAGTCTGAGAGAGTGGCCAGGGGCAGCTGCAGGCTCACTGGGGCCGCAGGAGGGATGGGGAGGGTGCAGAGTGTGCTGGCCTCTCAGTGCAGAGTGGGGAGGGTGGGGGTCAGCACTAAACACTGGGGGCCTCAGCGGTCCGTGCGGGAGCAGTGGCCGTCGGCTTGTCATGCCCGTCAGGTGTGGGCTCACACGGCCCTCTGCCACGAGCCGAGTGCCGCCCACCTAACCCCAGTTTCCCCCTCACACAGCTCTGTCCCATGGGACGGCCCCCTGCAGACACGGGAGCCGGGCTAAGAGGCCGTCATTGTCTGGGAGAGCCCTCACAGTGCAAATTTGGGGGTTTCTTCCAGAGAGGAGAATGTGTCGCTCAGTTGTGTCCGACTCTTTGCAACCCCGTGGACTGCAGCCCGCCAGGCTCCTCCGTCCATGGGATTCTCCAGGCAAGGATACTGGAGTGGGGTGCCATTGCCTCCTCCAGGGAGTCTTCCCCACCCAGGGATCAAACCTGGGTCTCCTGCATTGCAGGCAGATTCTTTACTATTTGAATTACTGGGAAGCTTGCGAGGAGAAAATCTGAGTGTAAATGCTCTGATGGGCCAGTGGGAAGAAAAACAGGGTGATGTTTACTTCTTGGCACATCTGGGTGCCCTCAGCAGCCCCCACCGGCTGGGCCAGCCCCTGTGCAGGCAGCGTCCACATTCACTCCTGAGACCCTGAGCCCGGGGGGCGGCAGGGACCTGGAGGGAAGGGAAGGGTTTAGAATCACAAGGCGCATCAGCCTGGGGGGTGGGGTCTGGCACCCAGGAGCCCTGGGGACCCCGCCCCTGCTGGGGCCCTGGTCACGGTGCCGGGGGCCAACACGGGCTCCGGGGTGTCAAGTCTCTCTGCCGTGTGGCCCTCTGGGTCCTGGGCTCCCTCTATACATGGAGAGGCGGCACCATGGTGCCCCTGGGAGGTACACAGCCTCGCCCACGTGGGGACCCACACGCCGGGCGGAGGACGACGTCCGCGTCCTCGGGACTGCCGCCCGGCTGGCCACACTGCCCCGTGATCCAGGGCTGCTTGCAGGGCTCAGGTGCAACGGGCCAGCAGCCAGGCCGGGGCGGGCGTGGCGTTCACGAGGCCTCTTCTAGGACCAGAGGGGCCAGGGGGGCCAGAGAGCGACAGAGTCCGCGTCTCAGAGGACCATGCGGGGCCGCAGAGGCGCGTGCCCGGACCGCAGAGCCTGTCCCACTGCCCGGGGTGGCTCTGACAGCCTCGCATGATTTAACTCACTTCATCCCCAAACACCGAGCAGACATCACAGCCACGGTCCGCTCGCAGTGCCGGGAGCTGAGGCTGAACGGCTCGCTGAGCTGGACCCGAGCCCCAGGCCGGTGTCTGGCCGGTGACCTTGGCACCTCGCCGCAGCCATAGGAGAGACCCTGGAACCAGGACAGCCGCCAGGGAAGGGAGGCAGGGGCCTGGCCTCAGCTCCGCTTGACCAGAAAGTACATCCTGGGCAGAGCCTTGAGTGCTAAGTCGCTTCAGTTGTGTCCTACTCTTTGCGACCCCACGGACTGTAGCCCGCCAGGCTCCTCCGTCCACAGAATTCTACAGGCCACAGTACTGGAGTGGGTAGCCTTTCCCTTCTCCAGGGGATCTTCCCAAACCAGGGATCGAACCCAGGTCTCCCGCGTTGCAGGTGGATTCTTTACCATCTGAGCCACCAGGGAAACCTTCAGTTCAGTTCAGTTCAGTCGCTCAGTCGTGTCTGACTCTTTGCGATCCCATGAATCGCAGCACGCCAGGCCTCCCTGTCCATCACCAACTCCTGGAGTTTACTCAAACTCATGTCCATCGAGTCGGTGATGCCATCCAGCCATCTCATCCTCTGTCGTCCCCTTCTCCTCCTGCCCCCAATCCCTCCCAGCATCAGGGTCTTTTCCAATGAGTCAACTCTTCGCATCAGGTGGCCAAAGTATTGGAGTTTCAGCTTCAACATCAGTCCATCCAATGAACACCCAGGACTGATCTCCCTTAGGATGGACTGGTTGGATCTCCTTGCATTCCAGGGGACTTTCAAGAGTCTTCTCCAACACCACCGCCATCTCAATTGATCCCATAAACATTCGCCAAATTCCACCCTGGGTGTGAAGCCCTGGGCTGGCGGCCCCTCATTTTAAGGCCCTGTCCCCAGGGGGCCATGTTCCCCAAGGCCCCTCAGAGTCAATGAGGTGACTTGCTATTTCTGTGATACACGCTTGAATCAGAATAACTCACTTCGCTTGACAACAGGCAGTCAAGTGGGGAGGGCGTGGATCCCGCTGGATGATGCCTAACCTGACATTTTAAACAGGAAAAACAAGATGCAAAAGGGCGCCGTGTGTCAGGGGCATTGCTCGGGGCCTGCTGTGTGTGGATTCTGGGAAGCAGGGATGGGGGAGTCAGAGGCGGCCCCCATCCCACGTACACTCTGCCCACTCTGTCTTCCTGAGGGCTCCCTTCCCGGCCTGCTGCAGTCTCCATTCCCCAGCTCCTGGCTCCCTGAGCCCCGGCAGCTCGGGGAGGGGGGTTCCAGGCTCAAGGAGGGATTAGGGCCCCCCCCCCCACCGCTGCAGCCATCCCAGCAAGCTGCCCAGAAAATCAGGGAAGGCGGGCTTGGCCACCACTGAAGCTGTCTGTGCTGAGCAACTCAATGAGCGGGAGGATGCCCCTGGCCCGGGACTGTGGCCGCCTCTCCCCACGGCACCCCCGCGCCCGCGGGTCGGGCAGCTGGGGCCGATCTCCCTGAGGGGCGTCTCTCAGGGCGAGGGGCAACGGCGCTGTGCTGAGTGTCACGGGGCACACACTCAGGCCAGAGCGGTCGCCTAAGGCCAACGACGTCCCCAGGAATGCTCCTTGGACTGAAACGTGCAGACGGGCCGCCTCTCATATTCGCGGCAAGGCAGCACATTCCCTCCCTCGAAGCTGCGACTGTTGGGTAGAAACTGGGATGGGGTGGAGCGCTGACCGTCTTTCCTGGAAGAAAATGCCATCTCTCACCCTGTGACGCTCACTGCAGTCCTTCCACCAAACCCGGAAGACTAGCCAAGAGGAGCTCCGGGGAGGCCCTTCGGGCGGTACTTGGAGAGGGAAGCTCTTCACGGAGCAGCCAGGACGCAACGCCGGGCCCGAGGGGAGGGCTTGGTCCCTCCCGGGTCGGTGCTGACGTCCCCTGTGCCTCCTGGCGGTCCCCTGAGCTCTCGGCCACTACTTTCCCATCTGCAGAGAGAGGCAACGCCTGGGGGCTGTGAGTGTGTGAAGACGCCCAGAACAAGACCCAACGACAGCCATCGATCCCGTGGCCCTGAGTCAGCAGAGCGTTTGAACCCGAACTCCGAGCCCTTGTGCCCCCGAAACACAGGGTCCAGATGTGGAACCCTGTTCCCGGCCAGTGACGCCAACAACAGGTGCCCCCGGAATTCAGAAAGGGCGGCAGGCGGATGCAACAGGGGCAGCCGCCCTGAGGAGGGCGTGCGTCCGGGCCACGGCGGGCTCTGCGTGCCGCGGGGACAAACTCGGGCCCAGAGAGCTAGCCCCGCAGCCCGCCAGCCTCAGGCGCCCAGGGCCCGTGCTGGGGGTGTGCTGTCCTCTTCGCCCAGCAGCGGTGACCGGGGTTGCTCCATGGAGGACCGTCAGAGCGCATGGCCCAGGTCTCCACAGTGAACACAACACAGGTCTGCAGAGGGCTGGGACTGAGGCAGGGTGGAAAGCCACACTGGATGCTGGGTGGTCTCCAAACTGGCCGTTGTCAGCCCAGCAAGGGAACACACAGCCCCTGGACCCCGGTAACCGCCTGGGGGAGTTGGGCCTCAGTTCCAGCCCTTCTAGATGGAGGCTGGATCAGCACAGACGCCGCTGGTCATGCAGCAGAAAGCAACCAGAGGACAGCATGTGGCCCCAGGAGCGTCCAGTCCAGGTTTAGGAAAGCTTTCAAAGGTCATAAAAACAGCAGGAGAAGCCAAGCAGAGCCCCAGCAGCTGTGTGCTGGGTCGGCACATGGGCTGCCCAAGTCCTTCCTCCAGGATGCCACGTCTCCCTCCGTCAGACGGCATGCTGCGTGCACGCCTTCCTGCAAGAGCCGCAGGTGTCCCAGCAAAGACGCTTGAACACACCACGTTAACCCTGCCCAGGACACCAGGGCTGTTGGATGAGGGAGTGACGAGGACGTCACAGCCAGCACGCCAGCAGACCGGGAATTAAGCTTTCAGAGCAGAGGCAAAGAGCAGGGGCCTCCGGACTGGACTTCCCCCACTTTGACCCCTGGAGTCACAGACAACGTTTCAGGGAGTTGTGCCCTAACCCATCGCGGTCACCAAATGGTTCAGGCAAACACAGCTTCTCACCCCTTCATAAACTACAGAGAATACATTTCGAAGAACCTGGAGCTTATCTAACCCAAACTCTTACTTTATGCTTTGTCCAAAGTCCCATCACCAATGATAGAAGCAAGGCTTCCAGCCCATATTCTTGGGCCCCAGCTCCATGAAGCACACAGTTTTGTGTACTGATTCAGCACAAAAGGAGTATTTCTCTCAAAGCTCTCTTTCTAGTCTCCCAGAACATGTGAGTTCCCTTGTGGCTGCAACAGATCTGTCTCTCTGCATAAATAGAAGATAGATGGGTGGGTAGACACACAGCCACACACATGCAACCTCTGCAAATGTGCACAAGACTATATTAGTGCTCATGTTTGGGTGTGTGTCTGTGTGCCTTTATTTTATGAAAGAAAATTTGGGGGTGGGCAGAACGCTAGTTTCAGTAAAACTCCTAAAGTTTTGTTAAAGAGTATAAATTAAACATGGGTCAAAGTGTAAAATTCATTTCTTAGACCCCTGCTCTTACCTCTGGTTGTCTACAGATGCTATAATCATTCCAAGTATCTGACTTAGAATGTCCTCAAATCATAGTGTTACCAAAAAAAAAAAAAGTCACCTTTCTCAGGGATATTTATATTCTTAAATGAATTACTTAAATCCAAGAAAAACAGTGCCTATAGTAGAAATTCCAGGGTTCATACACATATATGTGTGTGTGCTAAGTCGTTTCAGTCGTGGCTGACTCTTTGAGACCCCTTGGACTGCAGCCCATCAGGCTCTTCCATCCATGGAATCTTCTAGGCAAGGATACTGGAGTGGCTGCCATGCCCTTCTCCAGAGGACCTTCCCGACCCAGGGATCAAACCCACGCACATATATTTTCTATGAAACAATCCACCCATCCGTTCTTCAATTCCATCACTACTGGATGTATTGAGTTACTGTCGTGTAACAGGAGCCCTTCTAGGTAAAGTAATGAAAAGTTTCTGCCTTTATGGAGGATTCGTTCCAGATGAGTGTCTTTCTTAAAGCAGATTACAAAGCATTCTCATGCTCATTGCCTTAGGAGAAGCTCACAGGAAATTGTGAGTGTATTCGTCCAGTTATCACAGTAATGCTGAGTAACAAACCACCCCAAAGCTCAGGGGTTTCCAAGAAGAAACGCTGTATTTCACGCTCATGAGTGTCTAGGTCACTGGTGGTTCAATTGGTCTACACAGGGCTGGTCTGGCTGTGTGGGCGGCTTGGCTCCAAGCTGTGGGCTGAATTTCTGTCTGACCCGAATGCTATTCTGGGGCCACAGCTGAAGGACAGCAGCTGACCAGCTGTTCCTTTCGTGGTGGAGTATGAGAATTAGCAAGGACGCCTGGGTCCTCCCCCAAGAGCCTCCACACTGATGTCTCTGCCTACATCCCTGCCAGGCAAGCTCCGTGGCCATGCCTGATGCCAGTGGGCCAAGTCACAGGTCAGATCCTTCCGGGAGGCCTTGCAAAGTCACGCGGTAAAGGGCAGATAAACACTCTTTCATAGGTGATGGAAGAGTGGGGACTAGTTATCCAACCTGCCACACCTGGGAAAGAAGTGAGGTCTCCATTCCACAGAGGAGGCGACTGGGTCTCCCAGGGGTGAGGGGCTTGTTCAAGCTCACATCGCCCCTCGTGACACAGCCAGGCGGCTTGGCCCCCGGGTCCATGCCCTTTGGTTAGTCACTGTTTCAGCTGCATGACCTCTGTGTCTTCCTCACTCACCGATTAGGCTAGCCCACCCGTGATGCCGAAAGCTCAGCCTCTCTGTGTATACTAAATAAAACCTCAGGCACAGAGCTTTGGGAGATGTAGAAAAGGATGCTTTATCGCTTTGCCAGGCGAAGGGAGCCACCACGGGCTAATGCCCTCAAAACCAAGTGCCCACACTTGGGGAGGACAGTGAGAAGCTTTATGGCAATTGTTCAAGTGGGCATGATCAGTGGGTAGACACTTCTCATGGGTTGGTGGTGCTGAGGTGAGTCACAGTCAGCATCACCAATCCTCAGATCAGCTGCTCTGATGTCCACATGCCCGTGGGCAGCATACCTTG